GAGAGAGAGAGAGAACATCAATGATGAGAGAGTCACTGATCGGCTGCCTCCTGCAATGTCCCCCACTGGGAATCGAGCCTGGAACCTGGGCATGTGCCCTGATCGGGAATCGAACTACAATCACTTGCATCATAGGTAGATGTCCAACTGCTGAGCCCCGCTGGCTGGGCCTGAGGATATGTTTATTATTATTTTTTTTAGAGAGGACGGGAGAGAGAGAGAAACATGGATGTGAGAGAAACATGGGTCGGTTTCCTCCCATGTGCACCCTGACCAGGGATTGAGCCAGCAGCCTGGGTATGTGTCCTGATTGGAAATGGAACTCGCAACCTAGTGGTATATAGGACACACTCCAACCAGCTGAGCCACCCAGCCAGGGCAGTGTTTCTTTTCTGTTGTCCTTGGAGGACTTTACATTTCATATCCTCCAGTATAACAGGTGACTGACTATTTGGGGTCCAAAGGATGTGGAAGTCTGACACTCAACACTGAGAGTCCCCTGGCCTCAGACTGTGCTGGGCGTGGATGGCAGCAGCCCTGGCTTTGATGTAGGCATGCTGGTGTTCGGGTGCCTGATCGGCTGCACACTTGTCTTGGTGACCTGGGACTCGGAGCCTGAATTCTTTCATCTGTAAAAGAGATGGAATGACCCTTGCTCTTTGAAGATGAAATAAGGCTAGAGGCTCTTTGCACCTAGGACATAGGCTTATACATGTAGTTGGAACCCAACTACAGGTTCCATGTCTACTAGTTGTATAACCTTGGGCAAGTTCAAGTTAACTTCTCTAAGCTCCAATTTGCCTATCTACGGAATGTTCCCATTGTTGGGACCATTGTATCTCCTGCCTTGCAGATTAAATAGGAGAGTGTGTATAAAGTTCCTAGTGCATTGCGCTTCTTGGCACAAAATAAAGGCTCACTGTAAGCTGTGATTGATATTAGTAGTAACCACGGTAATTTCTCTAGCTCCTGTAGTAGTTTTTCTGTAAAACCAAGAGGTTCTATTCAGTTTTTCCAAGGCCTGTGCTTCCAGGAAGTCACTTAACAGTGTGCATGTGACACCTTCCTGAGTTTGGTGGGTGATGACTTGGTCTCACAGTGGCTCTCCCTGTCTTCCAGCATTGACAGAAGGCTATGTTGGCTCCCTTCAGGACACCAGACACAGCAGCTCAGCGCAGATCCGCAGGCGCAAGGCCTCAGGGGACCCGTACTGGGCCTACTCCGGTAAGTGACCTGTTCTGACCCTGGTCACACAGGTCAGTTAACATCCTATTAAACTCACTGGAAGGTTCACTTTGAATGACCTTCACGCGTGACTTCTGTTTGTTCAAACTTCTTGTAGTTCCGGAAAAGTTAAAATATTCAAGCTTATTTTGCCTCGAGGTTATTAAAGTACCTTAATTTATCTCTCGCATCTGTTTTCTCAGCCTGTTTTTCCCTCGAAATTTATTTTCTGAACTTGTTAATGAGTTATTGTACCAAACTTGTCATTTTCCAAAAGGTGCAGCCTTTTCTTTTCTGTCTTTCCAGTGGCTGTGATTTCAGAGAGCAGAAAATATAAGGCTGGTCGTGAGCTGCTAAATGTCTGTTAAATATTACAGAGCATCACATATCAAAATGATCTTTGATGCTTTAAGAAATGCAACTTGTCAACATAAGAAACATTCAAAACTGTGAAGAATTTTTGTGAATTTGACCCAAAACTGCCGACAAGTACTGACCAGGAAGCACAGTCTCAGTGGATTGAGATACTGCTCCGGAGAATGGCAGTTTTGCACCTTAGTTTATGCATCACAATCGAAAGAGGAAACACAAGTGGGTTACATGAAATCCACTGGTGATAGATTAGGGAGGCGGGAGAAAGGAAAGTGGGGAAACCTCTGGGATTGGATAAAATGTAAAATGATAGACACACACTTCTTTGACTTAGGTGGGTACAGGATAGTAAACAGTCAGCAGTTAACTCAGTGACAATGAGAGGTCCGAAAAAAGGAAAATTACTTTGACATTCTAAAGATATCTTATCCTAGATGCAAAATGACAATAGACAGGCTCAGTTAAGGTAAAGATTTACCTTTGTCAGGGAAGATACCGGCCCAGCACATGACTACCCAGCATAAACTGCTTTTAGTTAAAAAAGTTTTAATTTCAGACTATCCTTTGTGGTTACTTTAGGTCTCTGAGTTTGCAAGGCTGCCATGCAGGCCTCCCCTGAGCTTGTGAGGTTAGCATGTCGCCCCTTTTCATTTATAAACTTTAGTTTTAAATCAGATCCTCGTTAAATATACTTCAACTCTCTACTGGTATGGTATTCTGTAGTTCTTTTCATTTTTATTTTTGCTTTTGACCTTTGAACCAGTGAAGAGAGAACACTACAGGATGGGGCAAAAGTAGGTTCACCCCAGTGAGTACGTGAAACACAGGGTTTATTCTTGCATTATAATTTAGTAATTATTGTATTATTTTCTACACAAACAACTATAAAACTAATTTTGCCCCACCCTGTATTATAACCAGGTTGAATATTACATTGGAAATAATTTTATTACATTATTAGGGGGAAAAATAACAAAGACATATAAGAATACACAGACCTTTCTAAATTATGCCTCTGACAGCTAACAAAAATATGATAGGTGATTTCTGTTTCTAAAATAGATTTTGATGCTCAATACATAGATAATGTAGCTAATTGAAGAGGAATACTTGAAGAAGATAGACTGCTTTGGAAATTCCTTTGGCACTGAATAATTCACATTCTTTGTTTGAAAAAGAGCTTGGAGGCATGGAGTATTAGTCTTAATAATAAATCTATATATTATGCAATGTTGTTGCATATAGAACTGAATGGTATTATTTTCATAATGATACTCAGGTTTTAAATCCTGAATTTCTACCTGCAAATCCTCTTAAATCTATGTCAGTGTAAAATTTATAGGCCTGATCTTTAATTACACCTTATCTATTGGCTTTTTGCATCCTTTTGTCTCTTGATAAATCTCCTGCCCCTACAGAGAGAATAGCCTATCTGTTTTGTTTTGCAAAGAACAGATAGTGATTCTGAAGTCTTCCATCACACCCAGTTTCTTGTGATTAGAATGATCTAATTAGAGCGTTTTTTGTCAACATTTTTGATAAATGAAGGAAATTGGGAGGTGAAAGCCAAAATTACATATATATATATATAGCTTCTTGCCAAGAAATCCAAAGAAAATTTATCTTTTTGTACTCCGTGGCTCCAATTTAGTTAAGAAGAGGCAAAAAGTGGCCTGCTATTTACAGTTCATCAATTTAGAATACTGACGGTGCTAGTTGAAAATTGTAAGTTACATCCCATCAGCATCTCCAGTTGAAAATGGCAGTGAGGGAATGAAAGGCTTATACACTCTTCTCATTACTTAGAGTGGACACAGTGCTGTGGTCTTCGGGATGATGTAATTGTTGATTTTGTTAACTTTGGTGGACTTAATGAGTCTCCATTTTTTATTTCTAGAATGCATTATATCTGGATTTTGGAATGTCTTCTATTGATGGAATGTCTGGTAGTTTAACTTCAGGGGTTTCATGCTTTTCTGGATAGATGCAGATAGTAAATATCTTAGGCTTTTCCAGGCATGTGGTATCTGTTTCAGCTATTAAGCTCTGCCATTTTAGTGCAGAAAGCAGTGATAGATAATACTGGACAAACTGGCTGTGTTCCCATAAAGTTTTATTTATGAACCCTTAAATTTGAATTTTATATAATACTCATGTGTAAGGAAATCTTATACTTCTTTTTAATTTTTTCTCCTCAACCATTTAAAAATATAGAAACCAGCCCTAGCCGATGTGGCTCAGTGCTTAGAGTATCAGCCCACGAAACAAAGGGTCAAGAGGTCGATTCCTGGTTACGGACATGTACCTGGGTTGCAGGCTCGATCTCCACCCCATTTGGGGCATGTGCAGGAGGCAGCCAATCTATGTGTGTCTTCTCTCACATTGGTGTTCCTCTCCTTCTCTCTTTCTCTCTCTCTCCTCTCTCCCTTCCTCTTTTCCTCCCCCTAAAAAAAAATCATTGGAAAAAAGAACTTTGGTGAGGATTAACAATTGGAAGGAAAGGAAGGAAGGAAGGGAGGGAGGGAGGAAAGAAGGGAAGGAAAAAATATACATATACACATAGATTTTATATAGAAACCATTCTTACTTTGTAGGCCATACTGAAATAGTTGGCCTGTTGGATAGGGCCCACAAGCTATATAGTTCCTCAACCCTGTTCTAATTGATTTTTTTTTCTGGAATTGGGATGGGACAGTCACATGCGGATGCCCAGAAACATTTGGATTCATTTGGGAGAACCAGTGAGGCCACTTGCTAGTCATAATTCAGAAAATAAAAGGAGGGGGGAGAATGAGAGTGGCATCCGTGGATGGTATGCAGTCCTCAGGCTTTAATCAGTTTTTCCTGAGAAGTACACAGTGCTGGCTCCAGCAGAGGCTGCTTCCCACCTGTGGGGGAGGAAAGATAGAATTTCCTCTACCCTAGAAAGTGTTTCTGGCTGGACTGATAATCAAAATAACATAAGGCAGATTAACCAGAGAAAATCAAGTTTTAATACCAGTACATGGGAATTCACATAAGCACCAACATTTTAAAGACAATAAGACAAAATGCAGTATATATGTCAATCTGGACTAAGGAAGTAGGAGGAGTTAGGGGTCGGTCTCGGACTTCAAAGGGAAGTAAGGGGATGAAAAGAGTTAATGTTTAGTAAACAAATGTTTGTTGGGCCATCTTGAAACAATGGAACACAGGGAGGACTCAGCTTAAATGGGCCTTGCTAGGCTCCTCCCTGTCTTTCACAGTCTGGTTCATATTTAACTATAGTTGTATGCGAGGATATCTTTCTTCTTGGGGCAGGCCCTCTGTCTCAATTCTTCTAGGCAGTTAGGGGGAAGGTCAAAGTTTTTTCCTGAGTCTTTGTTTCTTAAAAATAACCAGCTTAAAATAATCAATATCCCAAAAGATATATTTCGGGCTAGCAGGTTCTGCTTCCCCTGACACCGAGGTGGTGGAATATTGGTTCTCATGTCCCGACCTGGGGTCTGTCAGAGATATTCCTTAGCATTTGGCAAGTAGACAAAGAAGGGCAGGAAGCAGTAAGGGTTGTTGCCTACTGCTTTTGGCACATCAGACCAGGGCCTTTATTTTATTTATTAATTTAAAAAAAAAAGTTTTTTTGACTTGAGAGAGAGAAACGTTGACTTGTTCCACTCATTCACACATTTCTTAGTTGATTCCTGTATATGCCCTGACTAGGGACTGAACCTGCCACCCTGGTGTATCAGGATGACACTCTGACCAACTGAGCTACCCAGCCATAGCCAGACCAGGGCCTTGAAACTATGGTAAACCAGATGTTGGACTCTCAGCTGCAGGTATATACCTCTAGGTAGAAATGTTCCTTGAAAAATGAGGCTGACAAAAGAAAGACTCATTGTTTGTAGAGGGAAATGCTTTTACATTCAGCAAGAGCGAAGCAGGCCACTTCTGAAAGATTGGTTTAATGGTATAGATTTTAATCTCATGCCTCTAATTCACAGATTTGTCTTTGTTCCTCCTGAGGCAGTGCTGTCGGTTCTTTGGTGGTATTCTGTCATTTGTATTTCACCAGAATTTCCCATTTGGGATTTGGGAATGAGGGCTATGCAAACCAACCATCCTCAAGTTCAGGGGTTGGTTGGCAAACTACAAGCCACCATGGATTTTTGAGAGTAAAGTTTTATTGGAACACAGCCATGCCTATTCCTTTGTGTGTTGCATTTCACTGGTTTCATGCTGACACTGAAGAGTTGAGTAGTTTATATACACCTTTGACCGAAATGTTTAGCATAGGATTTTCCGGCCCTTTACAGAAAAGACTTGTCAACTTCTGCTCACACTGATACAGCCCGGGTTTTGGAGCAGACGTTAGCCTGATCCAGAATGTTCAGAGATTTGGAACACGTCTACCCCCGGCCCCCCTCTCAGGCCTTGCATTTCCCTTGAGCTGGAATATTTTTGAGAAACGTTCAGTTAGCATTCATAGTGATTCTGGTGGTCCTGCTTTTGGGGAGGACTTGGGAGGAACAAAGACGAGGGAGTGGGATGGCGAGGGGATGGATCAGGGCGATGAGTGGGCGGTAGCCCTCCTGGGTGCCCATATTCCTGCCCCCTGCTCCTTAGGCTGCCTTCCTGTGCGTGGGGTT